GGCGACCCGTCTCATGCCCAAATCATTGATAAAAATCGAATGGCACGAGCCAATCGATATGTTTAGGTCCTCAGCAACTTCTCAAACGGTGATTCGACGATTGGCCAATATCATTTTCTCCACTTCATTATTTTTTTCGTCTGTTGTTGAAGTGCTCGGGCGTCCGGCACGCTCTTCGTCGTTCACATCTTCTGGGCCTTCTGAGAACATTTTGTACCACCGATAAACGTTGCTTCGGTCCAAGGTAGCTTCTCCGTATGCCACAGTCAACATTCGGAATGCATCCGCGCACTTAATTTTCTTTTTTTCACACAAAATTTGATACAGGTTCTTTGATCCATTTTTTTTAATAGGTAAAAATCGAAGACGATCCAAAACACCTGCAAGCAAAGCAGCTGTCAACAATTAAATGAACAATCAAAATGGCCGAGCTTGTCGGCATAAGTGAGAGACATGAGTACCAACATAAAGCCACAAAAAGATCGAAATTCGAATATACGTAACCCGCGAAAATTCAAAAGTCGCGATACTTTTTGAACACACCTCGTATATATCGTAATATTGTAAATAGAATAATAGAATTGCGCTAGAAACTGTATTTTAAAATATTATAATATACATTATATAGGCGTATATATCTTTATTGAAAGCATTTTCTATAGATAAGCTCTTTTGTAAATATCGAAAAATGCGAAGTTTGGATTCATATTTCGTTTTAAAATAATTTTTAAATGTAATTTTATAGAAAATATTTGAAAATATTATGACACATGTGGATTAGAACATGGATTTATATAAAACAATATATAAATACACGTATTTAGAGTTTATATAGTAATATTTTCAATATATTATTCATGTATATAGTTGTTTAATTGTTTTGCATAATACCTCATTTATAAATTAATTTCATAGTTTAGTCTGTGAAAATAAAAATATTTGACTGGTGACTAAACAAACTGTAAATAGATGGCTTAATTGATGTATATAGTTGTTTAATTGTTTTGCATAATATTGTAGCGTAGAGAACAAGCCTTGAAATATCCTAAGATGTAAAAGTATTTATTGATGACGTCACAGCGACGAGTCGACAATTATTAACAGGTCAGCCCAAAACTATTTACAGCTAGAGAATCTTAAGCAAGCAAGCAAAGAAATGTTTTAAATATGATTTCACAAATACAGATTAATATATATTTTTATAATCTGTTGAATATAATTTCATTGAATAATATTAAATTAAATAATAAAATATTTCTTCGTCACATAGCCTCCTCCTATAGAGAGCATCGACCCGATGCTCATCAGGAGACTTACGTCGTCAGTCTTAAGAACTAGTACTATGGCCAGGGATATTTTCAGGTGACTGCGGTGGATGTCTTCTTTCAGTTGATATATCTTCTTCATGAGGACTTGGTAGGTCTATGTTTACGTCAAGGTAGTTTTTTCTCATTTCTACTGTGGTCGGTAAGGGGGGATTTTATAACTTTGCGGCCTCACCTCCAATGTGGTCTATCATCTAGTTTTAATGGCGGGGCGTCCAGCTATATCTTCTAGCAGGTGAGAAATGTTGTCTGTTTCGACCGCGATATGAAGTAGGGCTTCGGTAGCGAGTGAAAGTTTTCCTCGATGATTCGTCATTGGGGTCCTGAGATTCAGCTCGAGAGTTGTAGGATACCATTGCGTCTTGCTTTCTTTGGAAATAGTCATTTCTCCTTTCCTCATTGTGTCTCTTCCTGTCACGGCAATAGCGGACGACGTGACCTGGGCGTCCGCAGTAGAAACAGATTGGCCTTCCCTCAGTTGTACGCCAATCATTGGTGTCGCGTCTTCCTCCTTGTTTTGGGTATCGAGGTTCAGGGTGCGGTCTTATCGTTTCGGCCTCATATCTAGTATTTAAAAACTGTCGGGGTCTTTCCTTATGAGGGGGACTTCTCCTAGACTTTGAGATTGGCGCCAGGGTTCTTCCAATCTCCTCCTTTACAATTTCTTCGATTGTAGCATTTTTTGGTTCCTCCCGAGGAGAGCCTAATGCCCGCTGTACCTCCTCACGAACAATTTGCCTAATCAAAGATGACAGATCTTCTCCCTCATCCTGGTCACAGAGAGAGGCTACATTTGGTAGGCGCTCGTACCTGGTTGGGGTAACTCGCCTACAACGGAGCGCTTCGACACGGCGACATTCTGTAATGAATTCCTCGGTGCTCTGTACATCCCTCGGTAGGAGTGCTTGATAAAGCTCCTCAGCTATCCCCTTCATGAGGTGGGAGATTTTATCTTCCTCGCTCATTTGAAGATCAACCTCTTTGCACAAGCACAGGACATCCTGGATGTAAAATTCGGTACTTTCACCTTTTAATTGTGCCCGTGTTTTAAGTTTCTTCTCCGCTTGCAATTTTGAATTTTCTTTTTTTCCAAACACATTCTCTAATTGAGATGTGAATTCCTTCCAAGTCTGTATGCTTTCTTCGTTGTTCTCGAACCATTTGAGAGCAGTTCCAGACAGATAAAAATAAACTTTAGTAAGACAAAGGGTTTCGTCCCAATGGTTGTACCTTGCCACACGTGCATAGCCTTTTAACCATTTTTGGAGATCTTCACCATCCTCCCCGGAGAAAATGGAAGGGTTCCTTGGCAGATGTTGAACAACGTAGTTGCTTACCTGAGTATCTTCCTTCTTTACATTCATAGAAGTTTCTTCTGGTTCAACAGAATCAATTTTTATTTTATTTCTTAATGGGTATCGGTCCAGTCTCTCCACCAGTTGTAACGTAGAAATCAAGCCTTGAAATATCCTAAGATGTAAAAGTATTTATTGATGACGTCACAGCGACGAGTCGACAATTATTAACAGGTCAGCCCAAAACTATTTACAGCTAGAGAATCTTAAGCAAGCAAGCAAAGAAATGTTTTAAAGATGATTTCACAAATACAGATTAATATATATTTTTATAATCTGTTGAATATAATTTCATTGAATAATATTAAATTAAATAATAAAATATTTCTTCGTCACAATATTTCATTTATAAATTAATCTCATAATTTAGTCTGTGAAAAAAAAAAAGATATGACTGGTGACCAAACAAACTGTAAATAGATGGCTTAATGTTATATAGTTAAGATATATAATTAATTGTGATGTTTAATCTAATTTTGATCTTCATTGAATAAAATATATAAAGTTTAAATGTGTTTTAAACTTTAATAACAAGCACAAAATAATTATACTCGTATCTATATGTTTGTTCAGACCCCAATATTCTACAGAAAGCAATACCTCAAATTATCAGAATCACTATAGAACAGTCTATCCAAACCGATCAATCAAGAATAACCAATTCGAAGCTACACACACACTACAAATATTTACATAAAACATTCGCAGCAGAGAACTATCTACTAAGTGAACTCTCACTGCCAACTAAACGTCTCATTGCGCAATTGAGAATTCTATTTGTTTTATATCGAGAAGACCATATAAAATATCTAGAGACAGAAGACTTGTATTGCCAACTATGCAAAAATAGAACCGAAAATGAATTTTTTAGAACATTATATATTTGAATGCATGCCTCTTGACACGGAGAGAAAAATATTTTTCTCTAAGATAGGCCATACACACCTCACATTATATTCTTTATTATCCAACTTTATAGACAATAGTTCAGTAGCTTTGAATCTATATAACTTCCATAAAAATGCTATAAAAAAGAAAGACTTAACCGAAGATCCAATTTATTCTTCTACCCACCATGATTATCATGGCCTCTACCATGTGTAGACATGTGGTATACTTACAGTAAAAGCAGTCGCCTTCTTCTACCCACCATGATTATCATGGCCTGTACCATGCGTAGACATGTGGTGTACTTACAGTAAAAGCAGTCGCCTACTTCTACCCACCATGATTATCATGGCCTGTACCATGTCTAGACATGTGGTGTACTTACAGTAAAAGCAGTCGCCTACTTCTACCCACCATGATTATCATGGCCTGTACCATGTCTAGACATGTGGTATACTTACAGTAAAAGCAGTCGCTTACTTCTACCCACCATGATTATCATTGCCTGTATCACGTATACTAGGGATAAGCAAAAATAAATGTTTAACATGAACAGAATAATCCAAATATATTTTACCAAACGAAAATAAAATTTGGAATAGCAAAAGACTTTGTATTTTGTGTCGAATAAAAGTTAACCCTAATTAGTCAGTATTAAATAATATGTAAATTTTTAAGTTTATCGCGAAACATATTTATTTAAATCTTGGGTAATATTTAAACATGCAATATTTATATAATTATCAATATTTATTTATATATATCACATTGTTTTTCTTTTGATTATATCTACTTTGTTTAAAATGTATATATTTATTTAAGTAACCCAGGTTCCTGGAGCGTACAGAAGTCGCCAACTACCCGGGATGTCCTTCTGACCTAAGTCTTCTTGGAAATATATTAGATGGTTTATCGCCCAATAAGTTTGTAAGACGTCCGTGGCTCACGTGAAACACGCGACCTGCAGCGTGCTTCATAACAAAATACCTCGTAAAAGATGGACGATTGGTCCATCGAAATATTGGATTAATAAATAATCTTATTATAAACAATACTTAAAGTTGCACCGAATAAGTTTCTTTTCTATGAAAAATCAATATTTTATTTCAAAGAGAAATATCTAGTATTTCTAACTTTTTTTGAATGACGTATGAAAGGGTGGAAATATGAAGCGTAATGGTCTATATATAATTGGATGACGTATGAAAGGATGAAAATATGAAGAGTAATGGCGAACGGAAAAATAAAAGTGTCCAGGGGCGGGAATTGAACCCACAACCTTCTGCTTACCGGGCAGGTGCCATGTCCACTAGGCTACCCTGGACATATTTCTCCGTTCGTAACTAATACTTAAAGTAACTTTTAATACATTATAAAGGACTGCGGCGTATGATTATAAACAATACTTAAAGTTGGAGAACGGAGAAATATGTCCAGGGTAGCCTAGTGGACATGGCACCTGCCCGGTAAGCAGAAGGTTGTGGGTTCGAGTCCCGCCCCTGGACACTTTTATTTTTCCGTTCGCCATTACTCTTCATATTTTCATCCTTTCATACGTCATCCAATTATATATAGACCATTACGCTTCATATTTCCACCCTTTCATACGTCATTCAAAAAAAGTTAGAAATACTAGATATTTCTCTTCGAAATAAAATATTGATTTTTCATAGAAAAGAAACTTATGCGGTGCAACTTTAAGTATTGTTTATAATCATACGCCGCAATCCTTTATAATGTATTAAATAATCTTATTACAATCCAAAATACGCCTTATTTTTTAAATATTTAATTTAAAATAATCCATATAAATACCTTAAAACATTTCAGAAGTACTTCAGTTTACCGATCAGAATAAACTTCTTGCTTAATCTTCTGATTAAATATTTTCGCTTTTGAGCTTTATATCAAACAACCACTCTCTGCTACCAATTGTTGACTTTGCTTAGAATTTTTAATGAAACTGATTCTAAGAATATTCTGAAAAGATTTAAGGTATTTATAGGTTTTTAACTTTTGATTAGACAATTTTAATTTATATTTAGACATTTTTCATTTTAATTTAGACATTTATCATTTTAATTTAGACACATGAACTTTTTATAGAAAAGTCTTTATGTCTTAATTAAAATGAAAAATGTCTAACTTAAATTGAAAATATCTAAATAAAAATGAAAGTGTCTGATTTCAAATGAAAAATGTTTAAAAATAAATTAAAATTGTCTAATTAGTAGTTAAAAACCTATATATAGATTATTTAAAATTATATATGTTATAAAATAATGATATTTTTAGTTGATTTTGAAATCTTGTGAAGAATATGCTATGGTAATGCAGTCGTGGTTAAAAATCTTGAAAGTATAATAAAAAAAAATAGTTTTGATCAGTAATTGCTTTAATTGAGCTAAAGGAATATATAAAAACATAATTTGATAAAAGTAATGACTGGCTTAAGGCGTAAGAATCTAAAAAATGAAAAAAATATTTACATAATGTACAAAAGATTTGAGCCGGCCATCGGGAAACAACAACAATCGGTTATATAAACAGAAAGCGCCACCTCTGGCGATCGACTTAACATAATATTTGAAAATCTATGAAATATATATATTTAAAATAAAATAACATTTTAAATAATACCTTTATATAACATATATGAAAAAAACGAAAGAAAAAATAATAGATAAAACGTGAATGGCTTTTCTTGATTTATCAAGAAATTGGGTTGGCCAAATATCAGGGAACAGGTTAAATCAATGTTTAGTTGATTTCTGTTCCACCAAATGGCGCTCTGCTTTCTGTAAAGCACATGTGCTCCTGGTCAGGATATGCCATTTTAATTTTTGATAACATATATATGTTATATAAAAATATTATTTTATTTTAAATTATAATTTCATAGATTCAAATACTCTGCTAAATCGACCGCCAGAGGTCACTCTTCCCCAATAAAAACTCATTGTTGTTGTTTTATCCCCGTTGGCTGGCTCAAAACATTTGTACATTATGTAAATAAGCTTTTCATTTTTTTTTAAATTCTTACGCCTTTAGCCAGGCATTACTTTTACCAAATTTTGTCTTTTATACATTCCTTAGCTCAATTAAAGCAACCTCTGATCAAAACCATTATTATTTTTATTTCAAGATTTTTGACCACGACTGCATTACCATAGCATAATCTCAACAATTCTAAAATACAACAGAAATCTCATTCATCTTTATTTATCTATATATATAAAAATGGATGTTTGTTGGTCCGTTGGTCCGTCCGTCCGTTCGTCAGTGATAATCTTCTACATCGCTCAACCAATCGTGATGAAACTTTGGGAAGATGTTTAGTATACTACCGGGATGGTTTCTGGCTAATTACTCTTTAGAAATAACCTTTCGTTGCATTTTTATTTACAATAAAACGTAAATTCACTCGCAATCAGCGCCCCCTCGCGGCAGACGTGTGGCCTGAAATAGCCTCGCATGAGCTTATTTGTAACGTCAAGCTTAGCCTATAGGTTAGGTACACAGCTTCGTACCCCCGCAACCTAGGTTCGAGGCTCAGCGTGGGTGGTTTTTTTTTTTTTTCATTTCTTTTATATTATTGTAGCAAATTATTAAAAATATTATTTTATTTAAAATGTAGGCTTTTTAAAATAAAAATTAACATTTTATTTATTTATTTATTACAAAACACACGCTATATCCTATGTGGATATTTGCATGTAAATGTTTAAACTATTTTATGTACATAGTTTTTAAATATATATATACAAATTATTTATAGTTTTAGAGAGAGAGAGAGAGAGAGAGAGAGAGAGAGAAAGTTATTCAAATTTACATTTTAGAACAATAAATTATACAAGAAACAAAGATTATTTACATACATATCATCAAAAGTCCAATGTATATTTAGATTTACAACCACTAAACCAGTGGCACAAATATAATAATTAAAACTAGAAATTTCAATTCTTAATGTAATTCAAGTCCACGGCATTTGAGATAGTCTACAAAACTTGTTAAATTTTCTATATTCTTCTTTACTGGAAACCATTTGGCTTAAACTAGAACTGTTCATTTGACATTGTACTCTCAAATCAGCAACAAGTGGGCACCGGATTAAAATATGCTCAGGGTTGTGATCTTCTTGGTCATATAAGCAGATTGAAGAAAATAAAAATTAACATAAACAATTTTTTAATAATATTTGTAACAAACCTAGGTTCGAGGCTCAGCGTGGGTGTCTTTTTTTATTTTCATTTCTTTTATATTATTGTGGCAAGGTCTGTTTTTACGGCATTATTATATTTTGATTGGTTTATTTTAAATATGTTTGTTATGAAGGCTCGATGTAATACTATTTAGAGCATATTTTACATTTTAAACACCTAAGCCCCCCTCTTTTTAATATTGTAGCAAAGTATTAAAAGAATTATTTTATTTTAGATGTTTGCCATGAAACTTTGGGAAATTTGACATTTATAACAATAATTATAGCGAAATTAAGACATAGTGATTATATTCTGTGTTTGTGCATATATAAATATTTTACAGAAAATGTGAGAACGTTCTGTTAGAATATCTCGAAAACAAAAAACAATACATATAAACGAGTTCACTGACATTTATTGATGCAGTGATTATAATCAATGATTACAATGAAGGGCTATATTATCTATATATATATATATAAATCACTTTCAAATTTTAACGTAACGTTCCATTCTCAATCCCGTAGGGCTTTAGATCGGCTAAAACATTTTTATCTTTATAAGTGAATATTAACTTTACTGTACTGAATAGTTTAGTATAATGTTAATTTAACATATTACAATTTAGCCACAGCAACGCGTGGCCGGGTTCGCTAGTATATATATAAAAATGAATGTATGTGTGTGTGTCCTTTATGCCTGACCAAACCACTCATTGGAACGCCATGAAACTTTGGGAAGTTATTTAGTATAGTACTGGGAAGGTTTTTGAAAAATAATTTCTTGAATATCTTGAATATCCTTAGAGTTATTTGCAGATTTGTAGATTTAACTCGAAAGCAGCACCCCCATTGCGACGATGATAACAAGTTTTTTTATCTATAAGTTTTATTATCACTAAGTTTATTATCTTAAATATTATTTATCAAAAGTAAGATTTTCTACCTATTAATTGCGCACAAGTCAAAGCTAGTTTTATCATTTATCTACAACATATATATTGGGAGAATAGATAAAATGATGATTTTGTAATGTAGAAAATTAGGAAAGACAAAATTCAGGAAGACACGGCAATTTATTTGAGACAAGAATAATGATACAATTTCAAGGCAAAGATGCTATTCCTTTAACTTCCAATTACCGAGGGAACCAATTAATATTGATTTTATTCAACTTATCGAGTATTTTTCAAGGGACCGGGAAAAAATATTCACTTTATCGAGAGTTTCAAATTATCAAAATATATCTTTTTTTTTTAATAAGTTTATAGAGAATTGTTTTAACAAATGTTCGTTAGACAAACATTTACTCGGGTAAAACCCGGGCGAAGCCGGGTACATCCGCTAGTAACATATATATATTGCATGTTTATATACTACCCAAGATTTAAGTAAATATATTTCGTGATAAACTCAAAAACTACTGAACTAAAATTAGTAAATTTGATGAGGCTCTGCTATGCCATTTTTGGGATGTTCGATGTCTCAATGTTCCCAGTTAGAGGACAATCTACCTGAAGAATGTTCCCAATTTAGGGGCGTCGGCCATCTAGGCAGTAGAGACCAGTGCCATGTCACAATTAGAGGAGATGGCATTATAGCTCCTGACGTAAATTAGCCGTGCTGACAATCATGGCAGCGTTCATTGGACTCCGCCTGTCCTTTTGACCTTGCTTGGGTTATATCGATTACTTCTTGTTGGTCTGGAGGCAGGTTCTTGGTTTCTGCTGGGGTTCTTGGTTTCCTTGGTATCTGCTCGGATTCTTGGTGTCTGCCTTTGTTCTTGGTTCCCTATGTGTCAGCTCAGATTTTCTGGTTACACATATGCCCGCTCTGGTTTCTGCTTCCCTGTGTGTCCAGCCGGGTTTCTGGTTCCCCGTGTGTTCAGCCGGGTTTCTGGTTCCCCGTGTGTCCACCAGGATTTCTGGTTCCCCGTGTGTCCAACCGGGTTTCTGGTTCCCCGTGTGTCCACCAGGATTTCTGGTCCCCCGTGTGTCCACCAGGATTTCTGGTTTCCCGTGTGTCCAACCGGGTTTCTGGTTCCCCGTGTGTCCAGCCGGGTTTCTGGCTCCCCGTGTGTCTAGCCGGGTTTCTGGTTCCCTGCGTGTCCAACCGGGTTTCTGGTTCCCCGTGTGTCTAGCCGGGTTTCTGGTTCCCTGTGTGTCCAACCGGGTTTCTGGTTCCCCGTGTGTCTAGCCGGGTTTCTGGTTCCCTGTGTGTCCAGCCGGGTTTCTGGTTCCCCGTGTGTCCAGCCGGGTTTCTGGTTCCCTGTGTGTCCAGCCGGGTTTCTGATTCCCCGTG